GTGAGACCCGTAAGACCAATTTATGTTTATTGATCAACTTTATAAGATAATGATCTAATGGTCTAAAGTTGCACAGTGGCAATTTTGTGATTATTGAGAAATCTCGTGGCAATTTTATGATTATTGATAAGTCTCGTGGCAATTTTGTGATTATGAATATTCAGATTGTAGATCTAATCCAAGGGTTGAGAATTGGTCTTACGGGTCTCACGAAAAACACTTGGTCTCACATGATCCCAAGTGTATATATATATATATATATATATATATATATATATACATACATCTATATTATAAAACATTTGACAAAAACTCTTAAAAATCATTTTTTATGCGTAAAGTACTCTTTATTAATGCTTATTACTTAAAACTCAACATTGCAAGTAGATTGTGCGTAAGTACAACTTATTAAAGTTCCATATCTGAATTTGTGTAACTAACTATAGATAAACATAATCAAATACAGGATAATCATTGAGTTTCTAACAAAATACTTAATTATTATCTTTATAAAATGTTATATTATTAAACCAAAAATAAATTATTTGTTATTAAACTTAAATTAAATTATAATAAAAAAATTAAAGAAATTACATAAAAAATAAGAACCTTTAAATAGTTAAATTTGATATTAACATTGATATATTTTTTTTAAATTTATATTTATTCAAAAATAAAATCATTATTACTTTCTTAAAGACATAAAATCATATTATAACATCGACAAAAACAAATAATAAAATAGAACATTAAATTCGAGATATGTCTCGCTGCATTGCACGAATACTGTTCTAATATATAAAAAAGAGGGGCGTCAAATTTATTATTACAAGCACCACACAAACTTCCAAAGAAATTGGGATCTTGGGAAGAAAGAAAAAAAAAGTTTGTTGAAGAATTAAAAAGAAAAATAAAAATAAAAAAACAAAATAGAAATAGAAATATGTTTGAAGCATGCAAACGTGTTGAAATTTGGTATTAAATTGATGACCGCATTGAAGTCGGTTGAACCAACCAAACACCAAGGATTTAAAAGGAACCATTTCTGACTCATTCATCAACCTTCAATCTCTATCCACTCCCATCTCTCTCTCTCTCTCTGTTCATTTTGCAGGTTTCTCCTTTGGGTATACCTCCATAACCATTCTTTACATACTTCTAAACCACACACCAACAATTGGAAACCGGTTTGTGAAGATGAAGTGTTTCCATTACTTCAAAGATAAAACCAGGAGCCGATCTCAAAGATCGGCACCCATACTAAAAGACGAGACTAATTTCGGCATATCGGGGGATGTTTCGAGTGGGGCTCGAGTCACTCAGTCCACAGGATCAGCAAATTCACCTCGCGGCATCATGGAGTTATACGAGGAGAAGGCTGGGAAATTAAGGGTTTTTAAGTACACGGAACTTAGACACGCGACTAACGATTTCACGAGGCTACGTAAGGTTGGGGAAGGTGGATTTGGATGTGTTTATAAAGGCTCAATCAAGCCTCTTGATGGCAATGGTGATCCCATTGTGGTTGCTGTCAAGAAACTCAACAGAGATGGCTTTCAGGTATGAGTTTTGTAAATTCAATCATATGTGTAACTGTAACCACGAGCCGACTCACTCAATAACCTCAAAATCAACTTAAAACCATAATGAAAGTTATTTGTAGCCCATAACTTTGAGCTTATAAAGGCCCACGGATCTGATTATCTTATGAATTGGTAACTTTATTGTGCAAATATAAGTCTTCAGAAAATGGGACAATGTAGGGTTGACTGTATACCTTTTGTGTACATTGTGCTTTGCAAGTTGTACAGGAATGCAAGTACGTAAGCCCGATTTCTGACCTTTTTTCTTGGAATATTGAAACTGGATGCAGGGTCACAAACAATGGGTGGCTGAAGTACAGTTTCTGGGTGTAGTCGACCATCCGAATTTGGTCAAACTAATAGGATACTGTGCAACAGATGGCGAACGAGGGATCCAACGGCTGTTAGTTTACGAGTTCATGCCCAATAAAAGCTTAGAAGATCATCTCTTCACCAATTCTCCTCAACCTCTTCCATGGCAAAGAAGACTAGAAATTATGTTTGGAGCAGCACAAGGTCTTGCTTATCTGCATGAAGAATTAGAAGCTCAGGTATTATTTGCTATTTGCTAATTCTCCAAAAAAAGAGATCATAAACTAACAAAGGATCATTGGCCCAGAGATACCTAGGTTACCAGTAGAGCCCAAAGGTCGAGAATTAAAACATCGTCAAAAGTGAGGAGTGTGTGTGTATGTGAGAGAATATTTGATGTACATAAATATTATATTCTTCAAAGAAACATCATAGACTATACGTCTTAAATCACATTTTTTTGTCATTGTAAACGATTTTAGGTGATATTTCGAGATTTTAAGACGTCCAATATTCTATTGGATGAAAATTTCAACCCGAAGCTTTCGGATTTTGGGCTTGCTAGAGAGGGGCCAACGGAGGGTAACACGCACGTCTCGACTGCAGTGAGTTCATGTTCTTTCTTTAGTATAAAGATTGTGTGGTATTAAACGGAATTTGCATCATGTTGATATTGATATTATGTTTGGTTTTGGTTTTTAGGTTATGGGTACACACGGATATGCAGCTCCAGACTACATCGAAACAGGCCATCTTACAGCAAAGAGTGATGTGTGGAGCTTTGGTATTGTTTTGTATGAGATCCTAACAGGTAGACGGTCATTAGAAAGAAAACGACCAAAAGAAGACCAAAAACTACTAGATTGGGTAAGACGGTATCCGATCGATGGTAAAAAGTTCGGGCTTATTGTAGACCCTAGACTCGGAGATCAGTACTCGCTCACTGCAGCGAGGAAGATTGCAAAGCTAGCAGATAGTTGTTTGCTCAAGAGTGCCAAAGACCGACCTAAAATGAGTCAAGTGGTGGAGTCATTGAAGCAGATTCTAGAAGTACCAACCGAAGGAAGCCCATCAAGCAAGAGTTTGGAGATGGTTGACGATGAACCAGAGGATTTGACTGAAAAGACAAAGACAACGGACGGTTCGGAGTCGTCTAAGAGAAGATTGGCTCAGTTGGCTAAGTTAAGTGAACATGTTGGGGGAGTTTCTAAGAAAGGGTTCATGATAATGCACAGAGCCAAAGTGTCTTAAAACACACGATGCATTCGACAACTATAAACTATAAGAGAATGTTGGAAAAAAGCGACGACGGTGAAAGTGGTGTAAATGGATCTGATATTGACTCCATATTTTGTATAATTGGATATCTATTTACACCCTAAATAGTGCCAACCTGAGGAAATAGGAGATGTAGATTTCAAGAAGATTCAAGTACATGTTTGCATGGCAAGAAGGGAATATGTTTATCAGCTATAGTTAATTCGTTCATTGATCTAAACTACTTGATATCCATGTTATATAATAGTAATAACATATATATTTAATCAAATAAGGGTTGGGTTCCGGTGAGAAGCGTAAGAAGAGATCTCTACCCTTGGATCAATTCTAATTGAATGTGCTCCAACATGCATCGGACCAATTCCCTTCTAAAGCGCAATTCATGGGTGGGCATGAGATTAAAAGTGACCAAAGATTCAGATCTCTTCTTATGTTTCTCACCATAACTTTCCTTCTCACACGATCCTTTGCCATCAAATAATTATACTAACACGTTTAAATTGCATATGGTACAGTCTCAAAAACAAAGAATCTACTTGCTAGAACAGAACAATACACAACCAATGAAAAAATATATCGAAAAATATTTGAATTCAGTGAATTCAAGTTTGACCAATATCATTAATATGAATAGCTAATATATATTGGATTCACAGAAGAAATATAAAAAATAACAGATATAATGGAGCAGAATTCGGGCATTATCAGAATTCAAATAGTATTCGTTACATTTGAATCAAAATATTGATTTTTAACATCTGTTATCTAATTTAGAGGTTGGAAACTTTAATTGAATTCAAGTTCAGCTATCAGCATATACATTTACTAGCCTAGAGATAACATTTTGGATCATTTTTACTCCCAGTCAACCTTGAATCAACCTGTGTCACTGGATTAGACCATCGAGTCACTAGATTTAAAGGTGTGTTTCTATATATGTGGCTCTGGGATTGACCTCGGCTGGCTTTTTTTACTGGGTGAAAGTCAAACTGGCAGGGTCAGAGTCATGTTTTTAGATATCTGACAATAATGATTGACCACGATCTTAATTTTAGCACTAAAGGCAATATTTCCTCCAACAAACATTTGGAACCTATTATTAGACATGTTATGCTATTAATCAAAAGTCTTCTAATATATCATAGACCTCTTCTGGCAACAAAAATGAAGCATCTAGTGGATCAAATCAGTAGCAATAACTAGCTTTTAGCCCAATTAGATCTCATCAAATTGTGATCACAATAATGGGGCAAATACATGATTCTCGTTTAGAAATTTATCAATAAACAAAAATGTTCCAACTCACATGACCAAGGGAGTGCAATACATAATGAGAACTGGGGATGAGAGGAGGGTATATCAAGGATCCAGTTTAAGGATTTTCATGTTTATTTTACAAGATCTAACGATTAATCCAACGTATTTCTATGTGGGGATAGTTTTCAAAGTTCTCAAAGCAAGAAGTCAAGAACAGTGAAACATACGTCAATTTTGCTTGCAAATGATTGGATGATAATAAATTTCCTGCACAGTAATGCACAATCTATCATGATGTGTAGAAATTTTGAAAGAAAAGTGGGTAGCAGAGTGAAAAGAGCTGTACTCACACCTTGCTAATTTTGTAGAATACTGCTGCGAATCTGCAACCGTCATCACAGAAATGGGAGTCTATTGGAATAATGGTTTCAATCATCTGTGAGCTAATTTTATGAGCCATGTACTGCAATAGCATCCACTGCATTTGCTTGAGGCAGATCATACGATCCATATTCATGAATTCAGTTTTGACCTACAAATCTGACCGTCTCCTTGACCACCCCAGGCAACTCCATACAAGCAGAATCTAGAATGAACAGAAAAAGAAGCATGTTACTTTCAATATATATATATATATATATATATATATATTATATAAAAGTTTCAAGATGTCTAGTTGTCAGGCTGCCAGATGAAGGGTAAGAGATGCACAAGGGGATTATAGAAAAGTTCATCCAAAATAACAAACCTTTTTATCTAAAAGTAGTTGGTTGGACTACAGATGAACCCAACGAGATACTGTAAAGTGGTTAAATACAAGAAGATCAATCTCCTAGTCTCTTCATACAAGAAATTCTAAACTCGTCCCCCCCCCCCCCTTTTTGTGTGCACATGTTGCCTTTTTCATGGCAAACATTATGTCCCATAGATTATAGCAGGTCTAACTGCCATGTTAAAGCTAAAATTTCAGCTTCAACTAAAGCATTGACAGAAGCGTTCAACAATCAATCAAATATCTAAAATATACCTAATAGCACAAAATAAAAGGAATCTGGTGGACAAAAATCAATGACATCATGCACTTCATAAACATCAATGACAATGAACAGGATACAAAGATGATATCAGAAAGACCAAAAGAAATATGAGCACAGCTCTTCTCTCCAGTCTAATATTACACTGAGGACAGTCTACACATGAAGAAAACACACATATACAGAAAACACTGTACATATCTAATAATGGATTCAAACATGAAGATATTCCAACAAAACAAACTAATTTTTTTGGGAATAAATCTGAAGTCTTGAAGGTGCAAGTTTTCTGCTGAGCGAGTTGAAGCCATAGTAAATCTTATTACTTGAAGAGTTTCTAAAAGAACAAATACATTATTGAAGTTCTCTTGTTCTGAAAGAGTATATCAAGGTTCCCCATTCTACACCACTTTTTAATTTGAAATGGAATGGAGACCAAGATATGTCACTGTCATTGAGAAATTCTCATATAATGGTGGGGTTAAATTATATGTATAATAGAAAAATCTGGCAAGCTTAAAAAATAAGACACTTATGGGCAACTGAATCACTTAAAATGGACTTCGAAATCACATCAAAACAAAAATGAAAACAAAAGAAACTGGAAGGAGGTGGAATCTTGTTCAGTCCATAGGACACTAGGTTCAACACCCTACCTTTTACTGTTAGAAACATGCACATCTATCCACATCCTTACAAGATGAAATAAACATAAAAGTTTGATGAAGGTACGAGATATTCAGACTTAGAATACTAATTACGATATATAGATTATACTGATATAATATAGGCATATGAACAAGAAATTATTCCCAATCGCAATATAAATTGCCATAAGAATACCAAATTTGTAACCATTATGAGGGATAACAGATACCTATAGGTTGTTTTATGAAACTCAGCATATGACAGAGGCTCTTGTGCTTTCAAACAGAAGCTGAGACTTCCACAAAGACCTCAGGAAGCTGATCAAAATCATCAAACTCTGGTATCAGTTGAAAATGTCTCCCTGAGTCCCGGTCCCATCCTTCCGTCTTCCACTCTCCTGGCTGACCACCTCCCCAGATTAAGACTCTATGCATGGACTCTCATCTCGAAACTGAAACCTTTCTCTTTGCATTTAACTCACTTGTTGACTTCTAACATTGGTTGTTGAAGAATACTAGTAGTCACCTCTAAGGAACTACTAGATCCACTGTTAATCATTCTTATACCAGAAGTATATGTTTCCCTGTAAAGCCTATTTCTGTACAAATAATCGTAAGTAAGGTACATAAGGAAGTCTAGGAAAAGACTTTTTCCTGATGTCCCTCTTAAATATACATCATCTCCTTTTATGTCATGATTGGCTCTTTCCAAAACTCCATATGTTATTTCATCAAATTCAAGGCCTATCTGCCTCAAATGTTCCCCCCACATCAAAGCCCTTTCTGGCAGTCCCTGCCTACGAAGATGAGACAATAACAAGTTGATTGTCACAACATCGGGAACAAAAGCCATCTTAAGCAATTTTGCAGTCAAGATCATAGCACGATCCAGTATATCATTGCAAATGGCATTCAGCATTATGTTATACGTTACTGTATTTGGAACAATCCCAGATGAAAGAAGCTCATTGAACGCCAATACGGCTCTATTCATCCTTCGACTGCCACAAAAACCATGAATCCGAATATTATAGGTGGTAATATCCGGGTCCCACCCACTATTATACATTTTATAAACAAGAGTATCTGCATTGACCATGTCAAATCCCTTGCAGTATCCATTTATCAAAGTGTTGTAAGTAACGATGTCTGGTACCAAGCCAAACTGATGCATTTCCATAAACGTATCAATAGCAGATTTCATCCTACCCTGTTTACAGTACCCGTTAATAATAATATTATTAGTGAACAGATCAGGAAGAAGACCCCTTTGCCTCATCTCCTTCTCCAACTTCAGTGCCTCGTTTAATTTTCCATCATTGCAAAATCCGCCAATCAAAGAATTATAAGAGAAAATACTTGGCACAATCCCTTTATTTTTCATTTCTAAGAACACATTATATGCCTCCTCAACTAGACCAGCTTTAGATAATCCATCAATGAATACTGAAAAGCTAACAGCATCTGCAGCCGTTCCTGTGTTTTCCATAAGTAACCACAACTTTTGAGCACCCATCACGTTCCCAATTTTAAAGTATCCATCTACAAGCACAGTAAAGGTCATTCTATTGACTGGAAATTCCTTCTCTCTCATCTCACACATAAGCTCCTCGGCCTCTTGCAGCTTGCCCTTTCTTGACAAACACATGAGCAATGCATTACAAGTGGACGATGAAGGTTTTATGCCAAGCTTAATCATCATAAGATAGGCGTCAAATGCCTTCTCTTCTAATCCATCTTTGCTGTAAGCAGAAATTATAGAATTAAAAGCAATTACTGTAAGGGGCAAACCCTTCTTGAGCATGTCCTCTAGAAGTTCAGTTGCCTCTTCTGGTCGTCCTGCCCAGCACAATCTTGCTACCAATACATCAGGCAATGAACAATCGTGAAGCAACCCAGACATGGATAGATCTCTTAACAAGTGATCCACATCCTCATCTCTTCCATATTTGTAGTACCCTGCAACCAAAATGTTAAACGTCACACCATCGGCCTTAACATGATTGTTCCTCATTTCCTGGAAAAGCATAGACGCCTGACCAATTTCTCTAGCCTTAACAAAGCCATCCATCAACGCATTATAAACAATAGCATTTGGATACACACCCATGTCTTGCATTCCATCAAAAATGTTCCTTGCTTCAACAATGTTTCCCTCCTTGCTCAAGGCATTGATAATTGTACTAAACGTGGCAACACTTGGACTACAACCCCTTTCCACCATCAACTGCACCCAACTCAAAGCATCCAAAGTTTGTCCACGGATGCAGTATGCATTGATCAAAATGTTATATGTATAAACGTCCGGTTCGCACAGAAACTTCCTCATCAATTGTAACAAAGTCTCTCCGATATGAACTTGCCCCTTCCTACAGAACCCATGAATCATCACATTGAATGTGATATTAGAAGGACGGGGCCCTTTTCTAACCATATCTCTGAATAGCTTCCAAACACTTCCATAATCACCTACTCTAAGCAACAGTCTAAAGAGAATTGAAAGTGCTGACAAACCCGGCTGCAGTCCAATCATTCTCATTTTCCCCAAAACCTCCAATGCCTGTGAATTCATTTCAACAGTCATGAAAGCACGCATAACTGAATCCAGAACTGAAAAATCTGACTCATGCCCCCAATGCCCTCTCCACATAAATTCCACCACCTCCTGACATCTGGACGATCCAATTCTCCATATCATCCACGATAACACATCCTGTGCCACAATCCTGAACCCCTGCATGGCTAATACATGGCATGCAAGGCAACAAGACCTAACTATCCTATCTGACTCCTCTCTGAACACAAATTTGAAAAACGCAAACGCGCCTTCTTGGTTTCCAAACAATTTCATGATATTTACTAACAAAAAAGGGCAAAATTCACGAGAAAATTCTTTCAAGACAAAATCTGACTGCGTTTTAATCATTTTCCCCAACCCTAATACGATTCTACGCCTCTCATTCAGATTTATAACAGCATCTTCACTATTTAAATCCTTAAGAGGTGAAAAATCCACAAGGTAATCACATTTATGATTGGAAGATGATGAAGTATTGAAGCAGTGTGAGCATTGAAAAATTGGGGCTTTTGAGAGTAAACCGGCCGCAGTATTAGAACTTAGAGAGTTACAAACCTTAATGAGAGTGCTAGACGAACGCCGGCTCACAGTAGCAGACATCCGGCGATAGGCCGAAAAGCTATCTTCCAGCGAGCTGTGCCGTCACCGGTCTTGCAGGATAGAGAAGCAGAGCTGCTACTGTGCTCTTGTAGCAGAGTGGCGGAACGATCAGAGAAATTGATGTAAAACTGAATTTTCAAAAATAACCCTCTATTTTAAACTTTAATCAATTTGAACCTTATACTTCATAATTACGATTGAACAAAACATTAAAACAATTCTGCAAATAAGATTACAATAATAAACACATAATCATTTATAAACTCAATAAATTATATACAAGGACAAACCAGCTTTCATTACATAAACATGTGTAAAAATACAATGTTTACATAGTGTTGTTTGATACCTGAACCGTTCATATCAGTGTTATGTTGTAAGGATAATAAATACATGTCTTAAAACATTATTTATGTTACCTTTAAATATATTGGTGGTTTATAATTCAGTTAAATTGATCGTTGTATCATTTTGTTTTTCTCTAAAACATCCCTAAAATCGGAACTTATTTAAAGAGTAACGCTCAACAAGTAAAACCGAGGTACGGACAAGCGGACACATTCAAGAATGCAATTACACCCCTGTAACAAGAAACTCAAGAAAAGTACATGCAAGGATCAATTCATATACTTGATACAACGAATGCAACCATTCGAAATACAAAACGCTTTAAAAATATTCAACGACAAAACGCGAAACACGATGTCGTTTTGCATCCGCGTAAAACTAAACATGTCGAATTCTAAGTGTTTCACCACACCTACTTGGGGTTAACCTGTTGTGTTATCTACCGACTCTTATCCAGAACGAAAATGAAAAACGGTGGGGAAAGCTCGATAACCAGGCCCTCTTGCCACAAATTTAGCATGTGACACCAAAAGAAGGTCGAGCCCAGGAAAAAACGACGCCAAGTGGTTAGGATGTCGCTGAAGATGTCTAAGGTCAAGCATTTACAGTCAGTCAGTAACAAGCCAGCCAGGTTTTAAGACGGGATCGTTCTTGAAGTCACGGCCCGTTACGGATGTGGATTCACCCTGGCGTCGGAAACACTACAAAATGGGGGAAAAACATTAGTTCGGGTCAACAATAGGGTCTTAACATTCACATTTCGACTTCTTGTTTACCTTGTAGCAAACTATGGTATCATCGGGATACATTGCAAACAATTTTGTTCCAAGCCTCGCATGACAAGAATCACATAGACTCTCGTCGTTAATTTGAACATGCCGAGATCTTTCCTCCAATCGTGCTAAATTTGCATCGAGGCCAACGGCCCGGGATAAATTATGGACAACCTATAACAGTTAAGAGCTTTGCACAAGTTATAACCTCTAAAACAATCTCATAAACTAAACAAAACAAAGCAAACTCAGCATATCCCGCTCAGAAGTAGAGTGTGAGCGAGTAAGATGTGCGCAGACCTTTCCTCTTGTTTCAAGAGCCGGAGAGGTGGTTTCCAAGAATTTTGACCCCCAACTTGCCTTCAGAACAATCTTATGCATAGAAGAAATTTCAGGCTAGGTTTGTGCTTCGTAAAAGTTTAGGGAAAACACAGCCGAAGAACGGAAAAGAAAGTAGTTACCAACTTTTTGCTAACAGGGGGTGTGTTACCAACTTTTTGCTAACAGGGGGTGTTCGGGTTGGCTTGCCCACACCTCGACTAATCCCATGGGGCCCAGAAGATAACAGCTAGTAAAATCTCCAAATGGCCTTGAGGAGACTCGAACTGGCAACCTATTGGGAGGTGCCCCTAAGGCCTAACCTTTATTTTCTGGTTGAGCTGGCCCTAAAGGTTGGTGGTTACCAACTTTTCTAACCATTGTATTTGGATTTTCTTGCAAATGGTTTGTAGTTCTTTCAAAAATGAAAAAAAAAACACACACACACACACTATACTTACAAGAATGAGCACATTCCGACAAAATGTACCAGCTTCAATGGGTTCTTTTTCCGAAAGAGCTCATTCTTGCAAACCAGTGTTCTCTTTTTGCATTTTTGCAAGAACGACGAGTTATTTGCAATGAGAAGCCAAATAACGGTTTTACATTTAAATAAGTGAAACTTTTAAAAGGAAAGTGAGAAAATCATATGAAGAACCTACTTGTCCTTGGTAATGATGATGAAGACGAGCTCTAAGCATTCTTAAGATCGTATCGGAAGCAAGCTGTAATGGCATATTCGGGGACAATCTCTGCAAGTAAGAACCTAGTAATTTTCAGCAAAAACGACTTTGTGATCCTTAATCATTGGAGAGCCTTAATGTGTTCGTTTGGAGAGCCTTAACGTGAATAACCTTCTGATAGTTTTTTATTAAATGCATGATCTTCTGACAGATTTAAGAATGTCTCTGCCTAACAAAAGAATGCCTCTTCCTAACATAAAAACGTCTATCTGTCAGAAGGTCATGCATTTAAAAGGGAAAAAGAGGGTTAGAGGGTTATTCTCCTGATTTATACCTCAAGAACTTGCAGAGGATCAAGCGCTTCTCCATGGTTATGGAGAAGACGTACAGCAGCTTTGAACATAGGCTTCTTGCCATCTGTGGGATTTAGATAGATATCAAGCAACCTGAAATCATAAATCCAGGAGAGATAAGTACGTTAACTGAAGTGTCTGTGTGTGTGTGTGAGTGAGAGAGAGAGAGAGAAAGAGAACAAGAGCAAGATAGAGAAGGGACCAACTGCATATAGGCATCTGGTCTGCCAATCTCGGCACAATAGTGTTCAGCAGCATCGTTGTCCTCCAATTTCCTGAAGATTTTTCATTACATAAATCGTGACGTTAAGGAAAACATAACTGTTTATCAATGATGTTTTCTCTTTGAGTTCTTGTGAGAGTTAATGAACATTGAAGGGAAAAGTTCAAATGAGAGCCATAAATATTTTAAGAACTTGGGATCCAACTATTTCATGTATTATTCATGATGAATAACCCTGAATAATCATGAGATATCCAGCATTTTTCATAATTCATGATATCATGCATTTTCATCATAAATACCATTACATTTTTATCATCAATATCATGTATTTTCATTATGAATAGTTTCCATATGAATATTTATCATGACATTCATTACGAATAAAGCAAGAACAGTTGGTTCTGAGGTTCTCAAAATATTTATCAGTTCTCGTTTGAACCTGCTCCAAACATTGAAACTCCTTAAATGTTGGTAGTCGTGAAAAACTTACACAGCCAGGATCTGAAGCACCAATGTTTCTTGTCCTAGTTTTCGATAAAGGATAGCCTGCAAACAGACCAAGAAAACATATTTTCAATACTAAATCCATAATAAGACCCTTCGTTCCATGAAAATTGCAACATTTCCTTTTCGGGTAACCTTCTAATCTAGAGTTCACTTACGCCCATTAACATCATTGTGGAAAACTAATGATATTGACTTGGATCCACACGATCTTCTTTATTTTGTCACTDTTTAAGGGTATTCAAGACCACATGATAATAGCTAAAGATTTCTCTTAAACTATGTGTCTGCTAAAATGTTGTACTCCCTCCATTAACATCATTTTCAGGTAACCTTCTAATCTAGAGTTCACTTACGCCCATTAACATCATTGTGGAAAACTAATGATATTGACTTGGATCCACACGATCTTCTTTATTTTGTCACTGTTTAAGGGTATTCAAGACTACATGATAATAGCTAAAGATTTCTCTTAAACTATGTGTCTGCTAAAATGTTGTACTCCCTCCATCACAAAATTATGGTCCACGTTTCTATTTTAGCTTGTCCACTTTCAAAAGCAAGTGCATACTTTCCAATTCTACCCTTAATTACGAGTGGAGAAACTCATTACTCCCTCTATTATTAAGAGTAAATTTGTCATTTGGTTAATTAAAAAGTGTAATAATGACACATTTCTAAAACTTTGTGCTTTTTTCATTGTGGCTTCTATTTTGGGACGGAAGGAGTAATTTTCACGGGACCCTACTAAAAAGGAATAGGGTAAGCAAGACACACCATTATGACAGACCTTTTCCAACCACAATTCCGATTCTTGTATCAAATCAAGAACCTCTTCGGGGTCATACAAGTCGGAAGATTGCAAGAAGAATTGCAGTCTCTCTCTGACGGGATTTTGGAATATTGAATTCCTACCGTTAACCTGATCCGACGTTCCAGCTTCGGCATCACGAGACGGACTTTCTGATTCGTAGGTTTCAAGTGCTGATTTGGTGAGTAACAGAGCATATGATGTATGGAACTGAGGATCATCAGAGTCTTGATCTTCGATCAACCATTGCAGATATCTTCCGCATTGTAAACAATATGAAAAGGAAGGATCATTAAGCAACAATATTTACAAATCAGAAGCACAAAAAACCTATATTCATCAAAGCTAGTAATGATGGGATGTACCTCTGAAGAATTTCGGTTTTTTTTGGATCAATCGCAGCAATTACTTCGTCTGCAAGAAAGAATATGTTGGAACATGATAACAAGAAAGCTTTAATCCAATGTCATATATACACCTCACAGCATATTTACTCTTTGGGGTACAGGACAGGTCTGCATACGTCCCACCCCCGAAGACCCTACTTTCTAGTGGGACATACTAGAAGTGTTTTTTTCTTGTGGACCCACATAAATATCATCGTTCTTGGTAACCATGCAATGAGAAAGCAACTTAACTTGGAATCCTTCCAAAAAGGTTTATTCATTTTACGAACCATCATAGTTGGCCTTTGTTGCAACCAACCATCATTCTGGCCAAAAGAAAAAAAAAGTACTTTTGGAGAAAAGGAGCTGTTTTGCATTTAATTTACACAATATGTCCAAAATTGTTCATTATTGCAAAATACAAAGTTCTTCTTTTAACATTTTCACAAGAATGATGGTTATGTTGCAATGAGAAACCAAGTATGATGATTTAAAAGGTCTCTGTCTCTTACCAAAAAAATATGTTGCAATTGCCATGGGACGATAAAAAAGAAAAAGTTTAAATTATAAACAAGTAAATAAAAGTTAACAGAGAGAAGAATACTTGATCGCTAAAAACATCAAAGTCCTTACATGGAGGAAGCTGATGACTCCTTTTCTCAGACGTCAATATTCGAACAGCAAGCACCTGGTTGATATCTGCAATCTAATTGAAAAAGCCAGCGTTCCATGAGCTAGAAAAATTGGATCAAAAAAATATGAACAGAGTAATTCATTATTAGAAGCAGTCGCACTTCGCTTTTCATTGCAAACTAATGGTTTATTCTTTGCAAAAATGCCATATTGCAAAGTGTAGTGTTTCTTTTACATTTTGATGGTTTGTTTGCAATAAAAGAACCAAAGTTTCAACCAGTGATCGCATTTTTGAACCGTAGATTGGTTCTTCACTACAAACTAACCACATTCTTGCAAAAATGCCATAAAACGCTATAGTTTGCAGAATTTAGCGATTTGGGACAACTTATGAAAATGTAAATGCAAAAACAACCATCATACTAGCACTTTTTTTGTCCAAAACCATTCATTCTCCCAAAAAGAACAATGATCTGTTTGCAACAAAGAGTCAACATATTATGGTTTCAAATGCCAATAACTCCTTTCCACAATCCTTGATGCTTATTCAAAAAGCAGCCATACCCATCCAAGATGTTGCAGTATCAAATCTTGATCAGATAATTCCTCGAGAATCCTTGAAGCTTCAGCTGCTGCAGTCTCTTTGCCGTATATAATATTTACACCTACATCATGTGTTTCATTTAATTGTGTCGGGTCTGTCCAATAGCCGGATGAATAGTTTCTTGCCAATATCCGCCATATGGCAAGAGCCTTGGAGCTCATCCCTTTGCTTTCACAGAGGAATGCAAGTGTCCTTAAATGCCCCGAGTCGTTCAGTAAAGTTTCCAGCTCCTCCTGCATTGCCCATTGAAGTAAGACAGTCATCCAAACACACCTCTCACTAATAATGATGCATAAACTGCTATGGTTCCAGTATTTGACCAACGACCCCACAATGTCTTAAGCCCCGATAAAGACTCGATTTTTGACCCTATAATTAGCAACAAACAAATAAACTATGCCCTATAGTCTAAGGCGGTCAGATGCGTGTAGCCATACCAATACTTTCCAGGGTTCTAAAAATACATGCTTAGGGCCGCTTAAGAGGATGCCTAGGCCTTTAAGGTGTGTTTGGTACACAGGACAGTACAGAACAAGACCGATCAAGAACTTGTTGTCCCACATTTGGTAGAACAATTACATCAGGACTGGACAGGACTGAATGAGACAAAAATGCATTTTTCCGTCCCACCGAAATAGGTGGAACAAAAATAAGGGAAATGAGGCAAGCTTGGTAAATTACTAAATTACCCATGTCAAATTCCACAATTCTTTCACCTGCCTACCTCACTCTTGCCCGTCCAGTCCTGTCCAGTCAAGTACGCATACCTAACGCACACTTCGATTAGTTTGGCGGCTTAATCTGCCACTAAGCATCCCCCATTGCTTCAGTTAGAAACTAATTGTTAATTAAGTGCTTCAAAAAGTTAAGCGGGATTACACACGCTTCTTAATCTGAGTTCATCAATCCATATTTTTCAGCTGAGGTATTCTTTCAATCCCTTCTGAATAACTTTATCAAAGAAACATTGAAATTAGTCACTTAAAAAAGTAATTATATCAAAATAATATGGTATAAAAAATTTCTTTCTCATGTGCTTACATAATTTTAAAAACAATTATATTTGTATGCATAACAATGAACTTTCAGGGGCTTGCTTAGTCCCAGCTTAGGCGATTAAACGTTAAAACATGAGTCACCCACCTAGCTCCTAGCTCTTCCTAGAAACAAATTCTTCCTCAATTTCGTATAGGGATACACAAGCAAATGCCAACTCCAAATCGTCTAAATCAACAAAACTTGTATTTTTAGTAAAACCAGTTACTAAAATAATACAAAATCAGAAAAGCATTTATCTTTTCCATGGAAGGATGCATGAGTAATAAGTTTCATTTGAGAAGATTGGGTGGATGTCTCAAAATTCAAGTTAGTAGCCTAAGCCAAACAAGCCCGGTATATCCACCCAGAGGTGGCGTCCCCCCCCCCAAAAAAAAAAGGAGGAGGAAAAAGACCTGACCTCTACCCCAAGACCTAAATTGCCAACTATTAGAGGGTTGCCCTTGAACCAAACGTTAATACATTTAAAGTGATCATAAATCAGAAAATACAAAGTGATGAGGAAAGGATAAAGAAAGGCCATCCATACCACTATACACCAATTTTCAGAAGATGCAAGACTCTCCATTTCATCGACACGATTTAGCGCTCTATACAGATACATTAATAGTGTGTCGACTCCCTCCCTCACAGATGATGACAGATCTTTCTCGCGTGAAGTTTTTAAATACCTAAAGAAGTGAAAAAAGGGGGTAAATGTTAAAAGAATGTGGCAAAAACAGATGAACATAACACCAAAGAAGAGCATATAAACCTGATTGAATTTTTTAAAGCAGAATCCAATAAATCATCTTTATTTGGAGGGTTCAAAAGAAATTCATCATCCACAGCCGTCTCCAAACCTGCTTTCTTAAGAAAAATAGCTCTTTGAATAGCCATCAACCCATTGTCAATAACACTCTCAAGAGGGGCAGGTGGAGGGTGTAAACCCCAATAACGATTTCTAGGTACCTGAAAAGCAACTTGTTATCAACTTATTTATGAAGTTAAAAGATATCTAGAGAGTGTTATTGACAATGGTTAATGATTATTGAAACATGTTTATTAAGTTTTTTAGCATATTGAGACATGTCTCCAACTTTGCAATAGCCAACACGATTATTAATTGTTTGTATAATCTTGAAGCCCAACATCATTGATCCATAAAGTTTCAAATCTTTGGCAACTCCTTTCTTTTTTTTTTTCTTGCTGGGCAAAATTAGAAATATACTTGAATAATAATGACTGAATGGATGAATAGATGATGAACAAAAGCATATGCAAGTATACCAGCAACGACCAACGATTTGGATCTGGCATGATGAACGGAAATATTTCAGAAGGCTGCATTGTTTCAGATAGTAGGAAGTGGTTCACTGCTTCCTCAAAACGCAAGTCAAACATCAATAAGAATCCCACTTGCGCGTGAACAAATGACAGGGTTTCCTTTGATATTTCACCGTCATCATGAAGCTCCTCAACTAAGGAAATAGCCTCCTTAAAATCCTTCTTTCTCAAAAAATCTTTAATTTGTTCTTCAGAGGGTACTTTCAAGTAACAAATAACCTACTTAGATATCAAACCAGATATGCATCAAAAACCTAAGGAATTTATAAAAATGAAAACGAAACTAAGACAAAATACAAGGAAAGTCAAAAAGTAGAAGTCAAGGGAACAACAGAATAAGCAACTCGCATAACGATAATGTGTGAAATCAAAGTGCAGTCATGGAAAGCATTAATGAGACTTTTGTCAAGAATCCATCAATGAAAATTCCCCCAAACGATAAGATCATAGGGGGCTAAAGCTTTCGCCATCGGTAAGAAAAGCGTAAAGAAAAGCTAAGCAATCAAAGGACTTTCTAGCACATACTCACCTAAGCAGGAGGAATCGGACAAAAATTCCCCCAAACAATGTGCTCATGTGATATATAACTTTGTTACTAGGTTATTTTGGTATAATTACTTTTCTAAATGTTTTAAAGGACTAATTTTGTGGTCCCATTGGTCCAATTAGTCATAGATGATTGAAAATCAACCTTCAAGTGGAGAAAAGTTGATGAACACAAGAAAAATCAAACTAACCCCTTAATTTAATATAAGTTGCTAATCGGGTGAACGCCACTTAACATCTATGCTGTTATAGAGGTGAAAAATACAAAATTGTGGTCGGGATATCCATTTAGCAAAATATGGTATAAGCGGCTTCCACTGAAAAACTCTTATGTCTGCAGAAAATGGTATAGGGGTAAATGTATTCTGGCTATTTTCAAATAGACCCAAATTGACGGATGGCTGAACTGTAAAATCGGTCTATCTATATGTATGTGGCTATCTTTAGTGAGATCATACGAAGTGTATGTTATTAGTTTAGATCTAACCAATTTAATGAATTACTCCTAAAGGTTCACATCAAACTAGTGCTAGTTGATGCGAGTTATGATATTTGAGATAGCAGTTATAGCGGTCCAAAAATAGCGGTTCATATAATATTTCTTAGGATTATATATAAAACAGAGGGGGCAGAAATTGGAGCAGAGGGAGTTTAATTGACCAATCTGCTTCGATTTTCTTATCAACCAAGATTAAGAATTCAGACTCCAGACTCGCGGTACCTGGAGACAGAAGCTGGAAATAGAAGTTGGAAACAGAAGCTAGAAGCTGGAAGTCTGGAACAGAAGCTGAGAGCCTGAGACTCGTGGGTCGTGGTCATCTAAAGCAGATGAGATCGCCGAACAGAGCCCAGAAGAACAGATAGTCTAAAGACTAAAACAGGTTGTCGATAGAGAAACCTAGTTCTTCCAACTTATGTTAATGGATTAAACTTAAGAAAAATAAAGCTCAAAAAAGAAACACTGGAAATAAAGCCCAACTATCTAAAAACAGTAACGTCAATAACGAACGCAATTGACCCTAAATATCGGTCAAAATTGCGGTAAATTGCGCCGCTAATTGCGCTACCGCAATCTAACCACCGTTATTTTGCTAATGTCCGCTATCGGAGATATCGCCGCAATAGCAGTGCTATTGCGCCGCAATTAACAGCATAGCTTAACATCTAGGCAGCCAAATAACTGGCCCTAACTAATTGGATTAGTGTGGGATGCTAAACGCCCTAAGGGTCGCTTTTTACATGAATGGGACTGGGACTGGCCAGGATTAGACGGTTGTGAATGAGGAAGGTTTTACGGTTTTAATTTGACATGGGTAGTTTAGTGATTTTCCTATCTTGTCCCATCTCCCTTGTTTTGTTCCACCTATTTTGGTGGGACTTGGTCCTGTCCTGTCCGGTTTAATGTCACGCCAAATGTGAGACAACGGGTTTTTGTTATTCCAGTTCCACCCTTGACTGACGTACCAAACACACCCTAAGCAATGATTTTTAGAACATTGTTCACCATAACAAAAGAGTTTAAATAACATAAATACACAAATTCAATCAATTATAGAAGGTGGGCATACCTTGGTCCGTGTTGCTACAACCACCACCTTACCAGTTCTGTCTTCATCATCCATTATAAAAAGCTGACCACCTCCTTCTCCGGCAAGCACTATCTTCTGAACAAAACTCCCGGATTTCTTAAGATACAACTCCATCTTGCCACTGTGAAGAGCAACAACACTTGTACCTATCTCTCCTATACCATCCGGAGAGCCATTAAATACCAAACTTCCGCCCACCGGTTGCCCTTGAGAATCAACGATAACTCCCACATTATCAACCAACATAAGAACCTTATACTCTTTCTTCAACACCTTAAGCCGCGGTGAACTTGACATATCCGGCAATGAAAATATCAAGCCACATTGACCCGTAACACACGAACACAAATAATAACCACTTGAACCACCAACAACAATCGAATCATCGATCCAAACAATATCTTTAACCAAATCAACACATGGAATCTCTCTCAACGTCACAAGCGACCCTGCAACACTATCGTAATTCTCATTGCTCCTACCAACAAGCCCCACCAAAATCAGTTTCTTCCCAACAGCAGCAGCAAAAACACAGTTATCATCGATAGGCAAATCATTCACCCCGCCACCATTTAACTTCCCACCACCACCACCACTACCACCGCCTAATCTCTGTAAGAAACTGGAACCTGCACTTGCATCCCCTCCCCCTCCCACGGTTAACTTTGAAAAACCCCCATTGCCTTTACTCCTTAACCTCCTAGCAACAACACTAACACCTTTAAGAGCACCAATCTTTTTCACAGGCTTAACTAATTCTAAATCAACAAAATGTATAAACCCATCTGAAACTACTAGAACCTTCTCAATCTCACCAAATACATGTATTGATTCTACTGCACAATCGCTTATCAACATATGCCGCACAAATTTAATTTTGTCATCGTTGTCGTTATTTGCATTGTTGCTATTATTCTCATGATTATTAGTATTACTATTACTACCAGAATTGGAATTGGGATGATGAAGAGAGAGTAAGAGGAGTTTACCGGAGACGGTGCCAACGTAAATTAGGGTTTCGTAAAGAGAGGTGGAAAAGAGAGCGATAGATCGAATTGATGCTGAAGAGAGGTTGAATTGTGCAAAGGGTTCAAGGATCATGCGAGATTTCAACAGGGGTTTAGCCATTGGAGATGAGATTTTGGGTTTAAAGCTTCGACTTTTCCGCCATTTATGTAGAGAAAGATGGAGAAGACGATGGACTGATGGTGGGTTTTTGTCGATGCGATTCAGTCTTCTAATGAGTACAAATCTACGGGCAAAGAAAACCCATCAGTGACTCCAAAATTCCCAATTGAATTACATATTATTATACAGATCTATGATGACATACAAATTTCTCTTTCACCCACAAGAACAAGAACATGGGGAAAACGAGATGGATTAAAAACAAAATTACACCGTTACAAGATTCAGTAAAACTTTCTTCACATCAAGATAAATTTCCAATGCTAAAGCCACACATATTACTTGTTAAATGCATATTATATATACCAGTCGTGTACCCGCGCAATGCGGCGGGAGCTATGAATTTTAACGATTTTGAAGTTTCATGGGTTTTATTATAGAAGATTTAACATTGATATAAGTTACACTTGGTTTTTACATATTAATACAATTTGAATAAATGAGAGTTATGATTCCAATTACAGTCTATCGATGAAAAAAATTGTATAACAATTTAAAATCCAATATATTTAAAATCCAACATATTTAAACGACTCCACAAATGTGTTCGATTTACACCAAGAGCAAAGAATCAAGAGAGCGAGAGTTCTAGAGCAACTAAATGGGAGATGAATGAGAGAATTTTTAATAACTCATGGTGAATATCAGTTTGAATCTCACATTGGTGATGGGAAAAAGACATAGAGGTATGAGAGGGTGAAGACATGAATGAAAGGTGTCAAAAGTATCTTGGAAACATGAAAAGAAAAAATGATAATGTGCATTGGTAACTTGTACTATATGCTATTTTAATTGTATATAAGAGATTTTAAGATTTAATGCATAAAGTAGTAGTACTTAATGCATTATGAGTTGTTTTTTAAGATTTTTAAGATTTTGTGCATAAATGTATGGTACTTTATGCATTAAAAATTGTTTTTAAGATTTTGATATGTATCACGGCTTTCTTTTTTGGAAAGAGGACAACACCTCTAATAAAAATAAACGGACAAAAGATACACTTAATTAATGTGAGACTTCCACCCGAAAGCAAAATCACCTAGGGTATTGAGACAAGCCCCAATATCTAGATGACTAACACTAATCAAACACATATGGTTGGAGCAAACGTCATACCACGTAACTAAGGGGCCGTTTACCTAAACACTTACCCGTAAGCGTTTAACGGTAAAATTCAACGTTATCGCTTACTTACCTGGTAAGATTTTAGTCTACCAAAACGACATCGTATGTAACAACTTACCCAATAAGTGCTAACCGTGGTAAGAGTTGTCGCTATCACTTACCGGGTAAGACTTTCGGTTCTTGTCTTCGTTCTTACCGGGTAAGATTCTTGGTCTTTGACATATTCATCCAATGAAGTAACATGACTTAGTAAACACATACCTGAGTAAGCATTTGTTAAACGGCCCCTAAAATCCAAAGAGTATAGAGCAACAACACAAGTTTCGTACCAGAATTTGAGCATGGGTAACAGTCTGTAGTCTTCCCTTTACGCTACCACCAAACAAACTTATACAATTATTCTACCTAATTGATCATATGGGTTCAATAAGTGTAATTTTTCTTACAGGTAAATACCATCATGCCTATTTTATGAAAAATAGTAAAAGATTTTTGGCTTAAAATATATGCTGCTTTAGATATATAATCTCACATTACAACCACAAATAAAAGATGCATCAAACATAATCTTTTATATTAAATCTAAACTATAAACTTAGCATATGATAATTTCTTGAACCAAATAAAGGCAATTCCAACATTATATTGATAATCCACTATGTCTCCAAATATCTCCACCCTCATTCTACAAAATTCATCAAAGCATGCAAAATTGAATTGTTTTCAACTTTCTTTTCAAATAATTCAAAATCAAACATGTTTTCATTCATCATCTGCACCACCAGCTGCCGCATTCAGAGCATTCAGCCTCTCAATAAGCTTCTCCTTCCTCTCATCATATGTTAGCTTCTTCAAGTTGAACCTAAACCCACAAAAACAACATCAACACACATAATCATCTCTCTGTTTTTATAAACATAATCTTCTGCAAAAGTTATCTTTTTACCATCAAAAGGACATATTTTAAAAAATAAGGTCACCTCTTGTGTGCTCCTTTGGAGGCTGTTTCTCCAACGGGTTGGATCAGCATGAATGGCTGAATGCACCTTCTTGTACAGCTCTTCAATGTTTTATGGGTCAACTCCAGCTTTAATGTATTCAGAGAAGTGAGACTGATACTTTTCCGGCTCATCTCCCATCAAAGTCTGCATATAAACCAACTATTTTCAAATGATATGTTCTATTTTCAAAGATGCACTACATCTCTTGTTAAATAACACTCACCCTCATGTAGGAAGCAACATGCCCACCATAAATGTACTTGCGGTGGACATGTTACTTAGAAAAACACAAAGAAAACAGCAAAACAAGCAGTAGTTTGGGACTGTTTTGATACAAACAAGCAGTTTGCGACTGTTTCTACAGCAAAACAAATTGTAGAAAATGTTAGACTGCAATGAGATGAGTAACAACATCGGACAATCAAGACTTACACGAGCCGAGGAACGATGTCGAGTATGCCATTCTGATCACTTCTGTAATAACTCCTCACGCTTCTGTTTACTCTCTCTGATACACAAAGTTCCAATTAGAGTTCACACATAAATTCTTTAACCACAATCCTCTTGACATGGAATCAACAGGATGAGAAACTGTCCATAAACACAAAAAAACAAACTCTATTCATGCATTTTTACTCCCTATGTTCCTATATAAATGTCCAGTTCACTTTGTTATAAATGTTAAATATAAGATGAAAATATACAAGAAAAATACCCACAATCTGAAACTGATTCTCCAAAAAATAAAGATAAAAAGATCAAAAATTGATAGAACTTTACATAATTAGGAAGTGAAAACTGGACATCTAAATAGAAACAATAGGAAGTATTGAACAATTACGTTTTCCTTTATACCTTGTTAAAGAATTATAAATGACATGGACTGAAGCTTGCTGTTCATCAACAGTTATTCGGGGTCTCTTAATACCAGATACGGCTAACATGTCATGGGAAAACATAATAGGAAACTTGCTAACATAGTGGGGTGCTCTCTGTCATCAACTACTACAATAAAGCTATGTTTGTTTCACTGTTATTGGAGATTTTAGAAGTTGCAATCAGTTAATGAATTACAAATATTGTTGTCAATAATCTGTCGGTAAAAGTACATCGAAAATATGTTGATGATAAGATCCCTAAGTAAGACGTCAATTAGTACCACCTTGTTTTTGTTGATCCATCGATGATTATAACTGTTGGTGATCAGGCGGTGATCATAAACATGGTGATAATCGTCAGTGATRCCCAAGRAAGAGGCATGATTAAGAATCGGGTGAGCACCAAGTGAYACACAWTCCTTCCACATCGATATAATATCATTAGCAGAGTTGTAAAAGTTTATTCAACTTACCGASGTTAAACGATCACAAGTATTAGTGAACTATGATCAAACTGTTTTGAAAACAAGCAGCAAATCCAACCAGGATGTCCAAGAAATGTGCAAACATAATCTCCTCACAGCTTGCTAGTGGTTTAACCTCACTCTATGAATGCTTTTAGCTTTTTTTTCTGGCAACACATTATTTTAACCTCATTAAGTTGCCATACCAAATGCTGATCGGGTAAGATTTTACCAGGTCCTTACTATACCTTACCCGGTGAGGATTACAAATTTACAAGGAATAAGAATCTTACCCCATAAAAAAGGACAAAGATCGAAAATATACTTGGTAAGTGAAGATGGTAGGTAAGAAATAATAACAAAAAAAGTTCCAAATGAAGCTTTGGAGAAAAACCAAAATCCATTGCAAATCTAAACAGCCCTAACCCATTTTCATGGTAAGAAAGAGGCTATACAATAAAAAGAACACAAAAGATAAAATTGAAAATAAAAACTGGAAAAAGGGGAAGGAAGATAAACAATCGTATGAGATATTCAAACCAAATGAAGGAAAATACCTCGATTGGAATGAGTAGATGAGAGATGATCGAGCCCTAACCAGACTGCAACATCAAAGTCTCTTTGGAATATATGCCTAGTCAAACTTCACATTTGGTTTGGGAGGGATTAAACCATGTGAACAAAATCAATAATGACTATCCCCAGACATTTAGATTTTAGCCTATAAACTTCTAACAGAGAAAACTCTGTAGCCTGCAATGGGTATCCCAAAGTGGAAATTGTCCAAGAGTTTTATGACAATATGGAAGTATATACTGTTTTGAACAAGGATTGATGATAGGTAATGGCCTCTAAGGTTTGAAACAAAGTGGAAATTGTAAATTTCTTATGCCATTTCCCAGTGAAGATTAAATGTAAAACAGAAATGCACAAAGGGGAGAAGGGAATAATAACCTGTAGCTCACTCCAATGCCTCTGATCGAGAGTAAGGCCATCTGGGAAGAACCCTAAAACTCACATAAGTGAAATCTTGAATGGAATCAACATAGAGGAACAATTAATTCGCTAACCCATGGAAAACTAAGAACCCTAACCAACCAAATGAAGATGGAAAATAAAAATAATTACCTCGATTGGAACCCTAGCCGTATTCGAAGCATGGATAGCGAGTGTGTGGAGCCATTACATGGTGATCCTGAATAAGTAATCATCATACGGGAGCTTGAATCGTCAATTTCTGCATCATTACTTTAGGAGGGAAATCGATGAGAGCGTGCAGAGCGATGAGAGCTTGTATTGGGAAGACAATCTTCTTTGAGGAGTGTGAATGTAGCATTCGAGGAGAGTAGTGGAGAGCATGCGAAGAGTAGTGGAGAGCATTAAAGGGTGGTACTGTATAGATTATGCATAAAAAAGTTATACATTTTTAAGACTTTAAGACTTTAAGCATCAAAAGGTTGTACTTTATGCATTTTAAGTTGTTTTTAAGACTTTTATGAAATCTGCTTTATAAAATAGTATAGATACAAGGCATATATACAAGTCATGTAGATCATTTTTACAACCAATACAATTTAATTAATTGAGATATTTATAAAATTAATAAGAATTTATTTATTATGATTTAAATATTTATAAAAAATAAATAAAATTTATTAATTATTATTAATATTTTATATTAAAAAATAATTAAAACTTTTATAAAATTTTATATTTATTAAATTAAATAAACAGTTGAGATTGAATATTTGAATTATATTGGTTGTAGAAATATAAAAGATTATATCTTTTATATTTATATTTGGTTAACAGATTTCTAACCAAATGCCCTCTTAAAATGTTTGCACTTTGGAAAATGAAAGTATAGACCCTGAGAACTTGAATTCAAAAGTAATGGGCCATAGAATTCAAAAGTCCAGAAATGTCACGGGCCGGCCCATACTTCAATAGGTACAACCTTTTTTGGACCATATATTTGTTTTTAACATTTTTTTTATATTAACCTGGATATTTAATCCGCTATGCGAGCCGACTAATCACAGGGCAACCACCTGCTTTGCATGTAACCTGGAGTCACCGCATTTGAACCTCTCTAACCACAAGGGGATTTTTGTTTCTTTTTAGATTTAATCCTGGAATCTCCAGACACTTTTGATCTTTGAAGTTAAGCTCAAATCAATCAGGCACCACCCTTTGTGGTTTGTTTCTAACATTTTGTCGTATATGTTTTGGTTTTGTGTTTTACTCAAGTTGCTTACATATTTTTAAATAATTTATTTGGGTAACAAAATTAATTACCATAACTGCAACTTGCCCCAAATGAAATCTGACTCCAATGACATATGTTTTACGTGATTTATTGAATTTGTTTTGTAATAATGTAGTTTTGATGTTTATAATATTTCATTTTATTCTTTATCTCAGTCGATGTTATAATATGGTCTTATGTGATTTTGAAAAAATGATGATGTTTTTATTTTTAATAAAATATAAATTTGAAGATATCATAAAAATTTGACAAAAATATATCGATATTAATATCAAATTAACTATTTAAAATTCTTTATTTTTTGTGTAATTTTTAATTAATTTTTGTTATTATAATTTAATTTAGGTTCAATAACGAAGTAATTTATATTTGGTTTAATAATATAATTTTTTTACAAAGATAATAATTAATTATTTTGTTAGAATTAGATAATTATCGTAATTATATTTTAGATTTTTTATATTTTAAAATGAAATGTTTATTCTCTATTTGATTATGTTTATTCGCAGCTAATTACACGAATTCAAACATGGAGCTTTAATAAGTTGTACTTGTGCATAATTTACTTGTAATATGAAATTTTAAGTAATATGTATTAATATACAATACTTCATGCATAAAAAATAATTTTTAAGAGTTTTTGTCAAATGCTTTATAATATAGTATAGATATGTGCAAAACTATTGAACTCTTTTTTTCCTAATAATGGACCATGGAGTTCAAAAATCCGGAAATGTCACTAATGTGATGCATCGAGATGCAGCGGATCAATTTCCGTAATAAGCGCAATTCATAAGGTTAGATGAGATTAAAAATTGTTCACATCTTAACTCTTATTCTCACACAATCTTTCGTCCATCTACTTAAAGGTTATACTTTAACGTGTCTTATATCAGTATTTTTCAAATAAGAATTTATTGAAGTATATGCATTTAAATGTGATTCTTAAAATAACAGTTAAATTACCGAACATGTGTTTTTTTGGGTTTTACTCAAGTTGCTTGTAACACCCCAGACAACCGTACAAGATATTGTTTGTGTTGTTTATGTCTGGATTCATAGTTTTAGAGCATATCTAGGAGAGAAGATATCCAGTTTCTTATGAGACAATTAGTTCCCCTCATCAATCGATGTGGGATCTTACAATTAGGGGTGTACGCAGGCTGGGTTGTGCAGTTTTTGACATTTTTACAATTCAAACCAATTATGGGGGCTTGAAATGAAACAATATCCCTTGAAAGCAAGAAATGTACAACTTTCGTCATATATAGACATGGTCGGAGATGCACCCGACTCAAAGAACATTCAATTGCTTATGACAGAGCATTCATATACATCGAGTACCTGTAGATACATGGCAGCCTCTTGCAAATCAAAAACAACCTCAATGAGCTTGTCTGTAATATATGACATTTAACTACCACAAACACACGAAAATCAAGATAATGACAATAAAAACAAATCTGTATAAAACTTACAGTGTATATATTAGAGAGTATCCTCAAAAGGGTGATGAGAAAATAACTACTGCCACACTCATCATTTAAAGATGAGCCATTAAATGTATTTTCAGGATGTCTCTTCCTCCTCCGTCTATTATGTCATGCCAAACGACTGCAACAACTTCTTTTTCATTCATCAAACTCATGAAGAACATAGAACTTGGATACATATATTATATATAAGCAAAAAGATGCTCCACTGACTCACTGAGTTTAGAACACAAATTGCCAATACTACAAGGTTGTACGTTTTGGGAATGTATTTGAGTTTGAATAATGTCTGGGCAGCGGAAAAAAGGTGTAGTTGATGGCCTTTTGAGTAATGTTTTTCATTGACGCATTTCATCGAACACGTAATATGCACATGTTAAATCGGAACATGTAGTTATGCATATGCACTAGTAATGCCAAAATCAAGTGAAAAGCTGGATTTGTAAATACCATAAAAACAGAATGCGGAGAAAAAGATGCACTACCATAAGAAAGGAAAATAAAAACTAATGCTTGGAATGAGAAAACCCTAACCGTATAAAATCAGAAGCGAATGAAGCATTGAAATATCAAATATGCTCTCTAACCAGCATTCATAATTCTTGGAGCTTGAACCGACATGTTGGGGAAATCAATTTGTGAATTCGTCATTTTGGGAGGGAAGCAATGAGACAACGTTTGAGATAATTTGTGAATCAATAGCGTGAGAGAAAGCAAAAATTGAATAATGAAGATTGATTTGAATCACGAATATCGTATAGGGAATGGGTGAGTGAATCATCAACTACAGAGGAAAGTACGATAGCAGCTAATCTATTAGCTTTAACAGCTTGTACATTAACCTCATAAGGTTATGATTAAAAGATTTTAAAACCAACTGCATAAAATAGCAGTATATTATGCTTAAAATTTTGAACGTATTTATCAATTGGTCGTCATTTTATTTTATAAAGCTTAGACATAAAATCCTAAAAAATGGTACATACACAATAATAAATTATACACTTAAATTTTAACATATTATAAAAACCTGCGATATATGTTTTATTGTACCTTAAAATTACCTTGATTATATATTTTTTAATTGTTATATTATATACAATTTGATTATTAAAATTCATAACAATGACTATTTCTTAGCAAAATGGACTAAATTTTGGCAATAAAATGAATTAAATTGTTATTAAAGGGCATAAAACGTTTATTTCTAACCATAAGAATGATGTCTGATTGGATTGAGCTTGACTTCAAAGCTCAAAAGTACCAAGAGGTCTCAGATTCAAATCCAAGAAAGAATAAAAATCCTCTTATAACCACGGAGATTCAAATACGGTGACTTCAGACTATCTGTAAAGCAAGTGGTCGCCTTAAGAATAGTTAGCTCGTATAACGGATTAGATATCCAAGTTAATAAAAAAATATTGTTTATTCCTCAAGTAAGGTTCAAGATTTAGCCTTAATTCATATTACATCTCCTATTGAGGAGATGAGGTTCTGTGAAAAGACAAAATTGCCACCACATTACCGAACATGTTTATAACAGGTTGGGTATTTTTACATAAAATGCAAACCAATCAAGGTCAACATCAAAGGTTACCAGAAAACAAAAACATCACAGAAATTAAAATTTAAAAAAGAAAGTGAAAAAAAGGGCAAAATTTGTCTCAAAGCAAAGGGTATCTTTGTCTTTTTCCTTCATCACCCCCACCATCATCAACATGACACCCCACCATCATCACCTTCTATACAAAACCCTCTCCAAATTTACTCATCAATCATCATCCCCCCTCCCCTCATATTTTCTTTTATCAGAGAGGGGTAATTATGTAATTTCACATAATATAATTGGGAAATTGACTTAGTTTGAGGCAACAAGAGTTCCGGTTTGCACAGCAGTTGCAGGTTTCTTGGAAGTCTCTGTTGATTTCTTTGAAGAAGATGATGATGAAGAAACCTTCCATCTCCTCTCTCTTGCTTCATCACTCTCAATCTGTTCTTGCCTGCACTCTTGGCTACAGTATGGAGTGTTCCCTCTACACCAAAATTACGAAAATACCCATCAAAATCTTGAAAACAAAAAGTCACATGGTACAACTCTTTATGCACAAAACACAACTCCCCCATTAAAGAACCCTCAGAAAGGTTAGGTCTTTATGTTTTGATTTATTCACTTGACAGGGAATTGGAATTCAATTTTGTCTATTTCATAACTGTAATTGTACAACTCTTTATTCACAAAGTACAACCATTTTATGCATATGGGTTTTTTTTTTTTGAAGATTGGATCTTTATATGAATTCTTGTAAAAAGATGGGGACTTTGAGGTTGTTTTTGTCCAGGTACAGTGAATCTAGATCCCTGTGTGAATTTACCAAAATACCCTTTTATAAATCTCAGCCCAAGTTGACATGGTACAACAAAATATGCACCTTGTACAACTCTTTATGCATAAAGCAACCAACCTTTTATGCATATGGTTTATTTTCCCATGAAACTAATGAATCCTTACAAAGCTTTGCTTTGTTGGTTTATTCATTTGGTTGGAATTTTTTGCGGTAATTTACCAAGATACCCCTCTAAAGATCATTAACCAAGATTCACATGTGCATAAACTTCTTCTATTCATCAGGTACAACCCTTTTATGCATCTGGTTTCTTTCCCATGAATATAAAGCTTGCATCTTTATGTTGATCTTAAGGGACAATGGAATCAGCATGAGGTACAAGTCGATGATGCACATATTGATATTGGAAAAAGGAGTCGATTTTATACCTGTACATGAATATGTCGCTGTTATTACCCAGTGGCTTAGAGCAAAGAGTACAAGCCTCAAGAAAATGGGGCTCCGAAAACTCGGCGTAAGATAGCGCAGCAGACCTCATCGTGTGTATAATCTCAAAGGAAGCTATGGTGCTTGCTAAAATGAGCGAGGGGTGCGAAGGTTAAAAGATCAAGGGACTGTGGGAAGGAATTCTTGCAGGGAAGAAGTGATAATTTATAGAGTTTTGGAGGAGGAGAGTTGGGGATTGGGTGTGAGATGGAGCAGGGACCGTTTGTGGTATTTGTATATAGATTAATGACACGTGTTAGTTGGATTGGGTCCACCTGTTTCTAGAGTGGTCTATCATACAGACGATAATAACTATTGTTTGAAAAACCGCTTTCCTTTCCAAAATTCAAGGGGCCTGAATCCAGTGGCAGAACCCTTCAATTATTAAGGTGTTTTTTTCTTTTTTCTTTTTTGGTCCTTTGGTTTTGAGATTTTACAATTGTGGCATGAAAGTTTCTTTAATTACAAATTTACACATTTTTGTATACAATATTACAAAGTGATGGTTTACCTTATTTACTTGTTATTGTTCTTAGGAGAACTAGCCTCGATTTTAAACACCATACCCCTCATAGGTTATTTACTTTTAGATCGTCAGTACATCTTCAACAACTATGTTAAAATAAAGAAAAAACATATTTTAATAAAAAAATTATTTCAATAACTATGTTATCTTATATGTTAAAATAGAGGGGGAAAGGAAAGATTGTAAAAATCTCTAATTAGAGAGAAAAAGAAATTAATATTTTAACAGTTTCTTCAACAAAAGACATTGAAATAAATGTTTAGGAGAGAGAAATAATATTTTATTAAATATATAAGAGAAAAGTCTAAAAGAATTCAATGGACTTTAGTTTTTGAAATGATTAAATCTTTGGACAATTTTTTGGAACAAATAAGTCCTTAGACATTCCAAAACTTGTTAAATAATTTTTTGGACTTTCTAAACCTGTTAGATACATTCTTATGACATGTAAAAGTGGTTAATGTGATAAAATAATGAAAAAAAGTTTAGAAAAAAAAGTCAATAAATTTTCATATTTTGAACAATTAAGTTTCTAAACAATTTTTAAACTAAAAAATATTTATATCTATAAATTGAAACAAATATACAAAAAAATACTTATATTCACAAAAAAAATACTTATATTTAAAAAATTACTGATGAAATTTATTTTAATTAAAAACAAAAAATATTATGTC